GCGTCCGAAAGACGTTGTCACGCGTACGCGAAGGTTGCAGACCCATCAAGTATAATTACATATTAGAAATTGTAACATTTTAAACATGTACGATTAAATAAAAACGTTAAATCATCAAACAAGTTTATGAATCATTACTTTTATCAACTGTCTTAGTTCAATGATGAAAAGTTGATTACTCAGAAGCACATGGATGCTATCGTATTTACCTTTACACCCAGGCTCACGTCACTACTCGAGGTTGATTATGTTTTATATCAAATTAAACCATTATAGGTTACTGTCCTAGGGATAATCACCTTCAATTATGATAGATTGATCAATATTTTGTCACTTGATACACTTTTTTTTAGCTTTTCATTACATAATAATCACTAAAAATTCAGGTAGGCACAAATAGCATTCCTATAAAGCAATATTTGAAAAGGAAGAATGGTTTGTCGCCTCCAGGGTTCGCGTTCAACGGTATAAGAGTTAGAGAGGCTCTACCAGTCAAAAGTTTCGATTCCCAAATGTGGTAGGTAAACGAAAAAAAATTACATCGTTTCATAATTTCTTCCTAACTATGTAATATTGGCTAGGATATTGCGGACTTGAATTAACGTTAAAGAATAAGATTCCGTGCTTCGGAGGTAGTGTGCAGTGTGCCTTGCTTTTGAGCCGTCTACGAGTCTGCCTCAGTATTTGTTAAACCACACGATAGCAAAAAGAAGGGTTAATTAAATCTTAGACAAGGGCTTAATTACATCCCACACGAATAGTAGTAGTAATAGTACGCATTTCAATGATAGCATAGTCTATAAATCATTCAATTGTTTTTCATAGAGTCGGTAATTATTGTAATTTAGAAGCAATATTGCTGTTACACTTTTATTGTGTAGCAATAAAAACTTATCGGACAGCAATAATGCGTTATAAAGTGTGCTCATCCTGGCTTCCTTGAAATCTTATTGGGTGTACCTACTATATTTGCATTGAGTGAAATGTAGTATATAAATCGTGTTTAGATCTATACAAATATGAACATGAGCAAAATAAATATGAAGCGACGATAGCCAAACGGTGAAGGTGTCGGAATGGCCGACTCTTTCCTCGTTTCGTAGAACGCGGGTCTGCTCCCCGCCGCCGCTAGACTATTATGGTGAACACTCGCATATTTTTCTTACCACGAGGGGTTAACAGGATTTACAAATTGCTAATATTCTTAAAAATACGTTTGATGTACACATGATGCAATAAATTAGTGAACTATGAACTTATTACTGCATTTAGGCAGTAAAATCAAAAGTCAACTCCACAGTTCACAGATTTCTTTTACTTTATCAATCACCAATTAAAATTTCGTTATTCAGAATATTGGCATTCAGACAGCAAGGCAGTGGCTTCACATACTGCTAATTAGTCGCAGCTATCTGTCAGATAAGATTAAATTAATTAGCGTATGATTAAGGGCTACTTAATCCCCTTATTTTCGACACGTACATGTGTTTCGTGAGATTAGTTCATTATCAGTTGTCTGTGATTTGATTGAAACGTGTTTTTTATTGAATTAGGTAAAGGTCCTTTAGTGTTTCAGGATTGTAATGTTTTTAGTAATTATCAGACTAAAAATCTTAAAAACAACTTATATTGGAAGTGGTTAATTTATTGTCTGCCTATCATATTTTTGACTACCTACTCGCTTTTGTACTAACTACGACCAGATCTTTGTCTGTCCTTAAACCATTACAAAACATGTACATAATAAATAATTACACAAAAATAAAAAACTTTGTCCTGTAGCTAGAAGAATCGAGCCTTAGGTATCGTTAGAAAGGAGCGATTCAAGTTCTGAAGGTTTAGTTTCTCACTTTCACGCGTGTCCTGTCTAACTCTTATATTTTTCAGACTTTTTCATTTATTTTGTTGGGCGATTTGATTTTTTTTCACACTCTATCTTATCTTAGCTTTAATACATTTTCGTCTGTAATATTTTAAAAACTTTAATAAAGCCTTTCTGCAATTATTAAGCCGACAATAACCGCTGGAGTGGTCATTACATAGATAACAGATATGACGGAGGTTGTATGGTAGATAACACATGACGCTAATATGGGAAGTGTTTGGAGTCGCAGTCGCCGATATGGGGAATTAGCGCCTCTAATTTTCACGTTAAAGCTCAAATTGCTGAACGATAAAGTGATAGCATTAGTATTGGCACGTATGTGTGTAGTCTGGCAGATATTTATCGTGATAAGATACGGTAATGATGGAAATGTGTGTGATTTGTGACAGGAAGTTCACTTTACTGAATAGGATTTTACCGCCTCACGCTAGGGCGGCTAGGGCGGTTTACATTCACTGGCTTCCCAAAACTTAAAGCTCATGAATCTAGCTACAGATGGATGAGAGAGAGCTTATTCACGCTACGACTTCTTTTTAATTCATCGCAACTCGTAACTCAAGAACTTTTCCTCCCCAATACGGTTGTGTCAGTTCAGCGAACGATGCGCCTTGCATCAACCGGTGACATCTGGTCTTATGCAATGTTATTCTAACCACATCCAGATCCAAATTTTAATAACCTACATTAACATTGCCGTCAACAGCAGATCATACTCAAAATAAAGTCATTTAGCATCCACTTTTTACCGGTCCAAACCAGATCCAGGCGGTTGCATCCAGAAAAATCTGGCCACACGAATGAGTTATTTATACATATGGTCCCGCGGGTATGTTTCAATTAGTTTGATTGGTGCTAATAACTTGTCGTGGGATTAGTCTAACATTAAAGCGACCGCGAATGTTATGTGGTAGCCGCAATCAGCCGCATTCCTGCTTTGTTTTTGACCTTAGTTAAGTTTATTGTTGTTCCTTAATAGATATATGGGCAAAGATTTTAATTATTGCGGCTGTGTTCTAGACAGTCTGTCTGTAAACCTAGTTGATGTTATAACCTTCTCATAAAAGTTGATTGGTGTATTCGGTTTGGTCGGTTCTCACTAGCTGCAAGTGGATTAAATAATGTTCTGGACAAGGTTTTGGGTTAACTTAGGAACTAAGGCTGGTTTCTACACGTCTGGGGGATTCCCTTTGAGACTCTGAGTACTTAGAGACACTATAGAGTTATAGAGTATCTAGTATAGCAGATAAGGAAAATCAGAAGAGATCCAAAATACCAAAATGAAAAAAATGATAAGCGGTTAAAAATAATTTACTTTGATTTTTGATAAGACCTATTACCTATTTTCCTGAGTATTGATCATAGGTAGATTACGACAGTGATAAGGGGATCCCCTAGCTTTCATTTCGTGAACCTTAATATATTGTTGTACATACACAAAGTTATTTAATACTATGTCATAGAACCTGAATTTGTACAGAAATCGCCAACCGCTGGTGCACGATGTTGGTACTATCTCTACTAGAAACTAGAAATACTTTTTACGCTTTTTTGTCTATAATGTTTTTAGTCTCGATCTATCCAATAACTGTCGCCTTGATTGAGAGCTTTGTTTTGTGTGCACGCGCAAATTGGCACGAACTTGACAAGGATTCCCAATCGCCCCACTGATGGCCAGTTATATGATCTTTATGATGACAGTGAAAGTGACAATTTGTAGCAATTACAGGAAAATGCAACTAGAAAAACAATTGAGTCATTTGTAATGGTACGAGTATAAAAACCGGCTTGGAATTTCGTAGTCGACTGGTCGATCGATCTTCTATCTTTTCCTCATCACGTTTTTCACATTGTCCTCCATTAATAAACTTTAAATAGAGATTAATAATTCATCCAAGATTTCAAAAAGAGATATCTTTAGGGGCATTAATTTACTAGCAAAGTAATTTATTAAGGTACTAGCAGGTAAGGTGATAAAAAGGTATATGGATGGAGACTGTATTTTATTTAATGTACATAATTGTATTAATTCATCACCATAAATAATAAGATATTAGGGATTAAAGGAATATTAAGGATGAGTTTTTCAAAAAACAATAATTTAAAATAATTTGTCTTCATAATAAGTACCTACGATTACTGGGTTCGATTATAAAAATTAATCAATTCTCATTTCTACAAAATTCATAAACAAAGTTGACTTTTGTTTCACTGATCTACATAATTATTGCAAAGGTTATCAATTAGCTACTTTTAATATAACATAGTTAATACGTAATCGCGGGTCACTTTCACTTGGTGTTAATGGATGATTAAATGATCGTTATTCTACTCAAAGCAATTTATTGTTATTGTTATAATCTTGCAATATTACTTAAGTAAAGTATCTAACCGTTGTAGTTACCTGATTCAAATAATGGTTGTGTAATTACTCTGGGAAATCTAGTAATTTGCAAATGGCGAATTATTTAATAATAGTTTTTAATTTGTTAATAACAATAATTGAAACAATTATGCGTGGGATTTACTGGTGTACATAGATATATTTAATTTCTAAATTGGCACTGTAAATGTCATATACAAAGGTTGATAATGATCGCTAGAATGGATGTGTAAATATGATCATCTGCTACTTGCAAAAGTAAATGAGAATGATACAAAAATGAAAATGGGTCAATAAGCATAGTACCTGTACTACCTACGTTGATGGAACAACGCTGGCTTCCAGCATAAAAAAGGTAGAGCCACCAATAAGTCGTGGTTTTGAGTCTCCAAACCAGTCGATTAGTTCAAGTGAAAATCATGTTCAAATACGAAGACTCTTAGGCCCAGCCCAGAACACACGGTGCAACTTTTGAGTTGCATCTAAGTTTCTGCCATAGCGTCCATTAAGAGACCACACATGACGCGACCAGTTTGAAACCGATTTGAACTTGTCTTGTCAACTCAAAAGTAACTAGAAGTTGCAGTTTCGTTTCACCGTGTGTTCACACGTTGTTTACTACTTTTGTTCACCCCATGTTTACCTTTTAAAATTGCCTAAAAGCCGTGTAGCCGCGACGTGCGCGCGCGCACACAGCGCGCTGGCAGCCGTTCTAATCTAATTTTGTGTTGGCAGAGACCAAGGACCGGCTGCAAAGGGCGCCGTTCGAGACCGCCCTGCACCACGCCGGTAAGTAAACAATGATTTTTTAACGCCTTATATGGACATTTTTGTGTAAATTCATGCACAATGGTATAGTAGTGAGAGATTGAGGTTCTTCATACACAAACAGTGGTGAAAAATAGAGAGAGGTATGTATTATAAAACAAAGCTCAAATCTCTATTCATTTGTCCAGCGATTTGTTCAGATATCAACCAATCAGAAGCTTGAATCTATCCTTGAAATTGAGAGTTTTGAGCTTTGTTATGGAAGTTGACTCTGAGGTTCTAACTCGTATCTCAAATGAGACACACGTAGTGTAAAACCATTGTGGGTTTTAAAATATTAATTGAAATTCCCCTTATAATCAGACTTGAATCGCGTGATTGTTCAAAAAGAAAATAATTCGTTCTGAAGACGCGTTACGGTTAATATATTTCATGTTCGAGTATGCTCCAATACCGTGCTTTTTATAGTAGGTATAATAAAATCAGTTCCACATTTAAGCCTAACGACTGAGCTATTTAGACATAGTTCTCTTGATTAGTATACCAGCAGTGTCTTGATGCCGTAGGCCGTGACCCCAGGGCGCGGCGACCCTCCCAGCTCCCCTATCTGCCTTTATCACCATCGTTTAGCTTTATACCCCTGGCAACGTCAGGTGGAGGCGGTGAATTGCCTTGATTGCTAGTGCTGGGTTCGAAGCCTAGTGGAGTCAATATGAAAAACACATTTTCTGAGTTGTTACTGGGTATGTAGAGAGCAAGGTTCTGGAATGAAGGCCACGTACCAGAAAACGCAGCGTGGGACGTCCACCCACAAGGTGGACCGACGACCTGATAAAGGTAGCAGGAAGGCGCTGGATGCAGGCCGCTACCAACCGTGCGATGTGGAAGTCATTGAGGGAGGCCCATGTTCAGCAGTGGACGTCCTGTGGCTGAAATGATGATGATGATGATGATATAGAGAGTCGCCATAATATGAAATCTCGCAAAACTTTTTGCACCTAAACTCAATATCTAATATTATTATCAGTAGGCTATGTGAAAGTCCGCGAGTCAAAGAAAATCACACTAATGGTAAAACACTCAAAACAAATTCATGAAAATCATAAATTCCCAAAAACTAAACATGTATTTGAATGCGGTTCCGAGGTAAAACTGTGTTAACGCTCAATCATTGGCGATAGCAAAAACAATACTTGTTATTCTCTCGCGATGTTTTTCTAAATTTCCCCGAAGTTTAATTACATTTTTGAGCCGTGACTCATTCAGGTGGGCGGCTCATCATGTAAAAACAATTTTCTCAAATCTTAAGTGATGATTAGTTAAGTACCTACTTCGATGAGAGTTTGTCGTGTTTTGTAATTAATCAAGTCATATCTGAATACCGATTCACGTTTTAAAAAATGTTGTCATGTTAACTTATATTAAAGACGAATAAAAGTAGATCAGTATATTTCTAGCCAACTACGGTACAAATCTAGGTGAGACCGTTGCCCAGCTGTGGGATTATCTACTTATCTGTATCTGTTTATTTAAAAGTATAAATTGCCTTACTAAGCATAAAAAATATCCTACATAAAACTATCCCCGTCCCTTTGATGACACTACCTACCTAGATAAATAAATAATAGTATGTTTGAATTGTTTGGCTTTGTGTCACCATTAGGAAATATCGAACATTAATAATGCGAGACACCTAAGTATACCTACAGTAATATTACTTGTTTATACTTTTGTTGTTACTAGTAAATATCTTATGAATGACAGAGATGGACGGATGAGCTAATTTATTGAAATTTTGCAGAATTTCCCGCTGGTAATTATTCCTTACATTTTTACTGCCGACTCGACAAGTCCCAGAAACGTGAAAAGCCATTTCTCGCCAATGTCAGAGGCGCATTAACTAAATATACAGCGCGGCGGCTTTGACGTGAACTAAACTAATATTTAATTTTAACTGTGTGCGCACGAACTTATTGTGTTCGAGTCAAATAGTAATTGTTAAAATAGCTTAAAAATAACTTGAATTCCATTTTACAATTGATGAACTGTAGGTGGAATCTGGCTGTTAAGTTTTGATAACTCCCGTTTTATGACGTCTATTTTTTATTTTTCACTATCTCATTGATTCAGGAACATAAAATACGAGTAGATAGTTTATATTACTTCGTATCTGACCGTCTAAACTGAGAATTAAACTAGGCATTAAAGTACTTGTACTTTATTCTATTAAGCACAAAGTCGAATCAATTAAGAATGAACTGTTTCATTGATGACTATTTTTTTTTGTTAGACTTCATTTAAATGAGACGGGTCACGTGACCTTTATCATGCTTAGGTAGAGGTACTAAATGTTACTGTATTGGTCTATAAACTTTATAGTATAGACGATGGAACGTTGTAATGAACTAAAGATAATTAACTGACAAGTCAAAAGTGTTGTTAAGGTTAGCAAACGCGCGGTCGTTAGCACGGCAACAAGTTGTCGGAACTTTCCGCGGGGGCGCCACTGAAGACGACCTTTATTGTTTGTTTTGGACAGTAACATAAATATAGGTTAGTAAGTATTGTTTATAGGCAGTAGATTTCAGGAAGTTTGAGGAAATAGGTATAATTGACGAGGAACGACCGCAAAAATGTTTCAGCGATCCGCCCTAGCTTTTCAGAGATAGGCACTTTTGCTTAATTGGAATTGACTGTGTATTATGCGTTAATCATAAACAACAATTTATACTCGTATGCTCTTTTTAACAGGTCTTGATGCATCGATTATATTTTCATATTTCTTTAGCTAACTTGTTTCTTAACATTATTATTTTTCATTTAATTTATTTAAATACTTGGACCATGCAGTTGGGTTCGATCGACTCTACACGATTCTATAGTGGCAAGAAAATTATGGACTTGTATGGTTTGTGAGATCGTTTGATATCATAATTAATTCCTCAGAACTTTCAGGCAAATTAAACAGAAGATTCTCTATCAAGAACCTTGACCGGTATTGGTGACGTCACCGCCGGCCATCGATGACGTCACACGATCTTGGCGCGTGGGCGTGGACCGGCTTTGTATTGTTTTGTCATTATCAAACCCACTTTGTAACTGGAGCCTTTGACAGGCATATTATCCTAGGGGATATCTTTTATAATAATATTTTCAGCTAATAATAGGAGTAGTGAAGGAGCACATAATAGAGTAAATCTCAGTTTTGTGATGGTTAGACCGTGTATTTTTTTTATATTAAAGACACGTAAAGGTGCTTTTTAAAAGCAAACTGTTGAAGTTTTATAAAGTTGATACCTATAAGTATACAGAATGTCTAAACATTAAAAAAAAATTGATAGTTTTCAGCTGCTGAAATGATTTAAAACGACTTGTTGATCACATAGGTATTACTTGTTTTATTTCATGTGCTAATTTCATAAAGGTCAAAACACTTACATCTACTTTAGCTGGCACAAAAATTATTAATTTAGCCTTTGCAATGAATGGGATTACGTTTTGAAATTGAAATGTGTGAAACTCTGTCACTGATTGATGAAAAAACTAGAAAACATAAGTAGGTACGAGGATTATAATTTAGCACATAGCTAAATTGTTTATATCAAGGCTTTCCGAGATCGTTTGATATCATGAAATCGTAACGTTAATGGTCATTAACGACCAGTCGATAACTCAAGCTCTCATGAGATTCAATCGAATTACGTAGGCACTTCCATTTGTACCTACATTCGTGTTGTCGAATTAAACTTTAATATTTAGTCACAATTTCACCAGATGTTAAGTAAGTGAAGATGCAAATGATCACACTTGTGCAGCGAGTAACTATATTATTCACTTAAGCCGTGAGGGAAGTCATACCTACTTATAAAGGGCTAAAAGCTGGCATCATTGTCTTCATAATAATGCCTACCACAGTCCACTGCTGGGCATGTGAATCTTTCAGTATGTCCCTAAGTCCAGACCTCGGCAATACCCTTACAATCGTAACCATATCACTGTCAAAGTTCTACATATCTACCGAGTGGCAAGTGGAATTTTGTCTGTCATAGAAAAACTTTATCGCGCGCATCCCCGTTTCAAAAACCGAGTTAAAACTATCATATGTCCTTTCACGGGACTCAAACTATCTCTATGACAATTTTCATCAAAATCGGTTCAGTGGTTTAGGCGTGAAAGCAAGACAGACAGACAGACAAACAGAGTTACTCGTACTTTCGCATATATAATATTAGTAGGTATAGACTAGTATAGATTAGTATAGAAGTATAGATTAATTACGGATCCTGAAAACCAAAGAAAAGCGAACAAACAAGCCTCTTTCGCTGACGCACGAGCCGTAGCTTTCACTCAACTGTCGCTAATAAATGCAGCCATCATACAGTTAAATTCATGTGTTTAACTAATTTTCAGGCTTCAGGAAAGCTTCAAAAGAAGCAATAACTGTTTCTTTCGAGTCAAGGTTTGTTTTGGCGGGAAACGCGGATGACATACGGCCGCCATCTTGACGCGTGCCAATTCAAAATGTTGTATGAGGTTTTGCGCAAACCTCGGTTTTTCGTTGATTGAAACATTTTACTTGAACAAAATACTTATTTTTGGATTTAACAGGTTTATTTGGGTTGTTTTTGAAAACGGTAAACATCATTACAGTGTCTGACTTGGTGCATAAATAAATAATTGATTTCATTTTAATGGTCGAAGAAGAAAAATTATCTACCTAAATAGCAATTTACAAAAGATTTCGTCAGTTGAAAGAAAGAAAAAATATTTATTTATATGTTTATGTGAATCAAACCACAAGCAAAAAATTTATAAGAAAAATTGTTTTGATTTGATTTTCAAAAAACTTTGCGACTGTTTTAGCATTTTAGATAAAATAGAAGTCTCGGTCGAAAACGAGTCATGCGTACGCAGTCGCGGGCGCATCTAGAAAATAAATAAATAACTGCTTTATTACTAAGGCTACGTATAAAAAAACCTCATTTATTTTTGCAAATAGGCTTTTAAAAAGCACTTTTACA